ACTCCAAAGATCACCTTCGCAATTTCCTTCACTTTAGACACACAATTTTGTAAGGCGATGTTATAAAAAGGAGGCTGAAGATTAGTGATAAAATCGGTGGACACAGTTTTGTTTGGTGTCCATCGGATGAAGAAGTTGTCGCCTTTGCTTTGTTCTTTCAGAAAGGACGCTTTTAATTAAATTAACTCGAATGTTTCTAATTTTGTGGACTTGGAAGGGGTTTCCCTTTAACGCACCACTTCATACCTACAGAATTTTTCCCACTTTTACACACTTTTTGCACCTGTGTAGCTCCGAACAAGAGGCCGAAGTAAAATTCGGAGCTGTGGCTTTGGACAAAAATGTGGGGAACGGGTTTTGGGGATAAGCTAACCTCAGCTACAGTGTTGTCATGCAATGAAACAAAATTGCACTATCTGAGGCTGCCTGAGCTTCAGCAAGTAAAGAAAAAAAGGAGAAGCTAATTCTTCCATCCTCTATAGTGGCATTATGGTAAGATGAAAGGCTTTGAGATTTACCTAAAAGTCAAAGAAGGCATCACACCTATGCAGTGCAACTAAGGAATAGAACGAATTGGAATGCAAGACCTGTTATACATCAGTTTTCACTCCAGGGTAGGTCTGGATCCAATGCATACTAAAGGCTTAGTGAGATCTCGTCGTCACGAATGGGCGCCATGGATGCTTCTTACCGCGGAAGTCCCACACCAAAGCCAAGGAAATTCCCTTATTGACAATCAAACTGGCTGAAATGCTTACGAAGACGTTCAACGCCTGGAATATGCATGACTCGGCTTGACACCGCATCCCCTTTTTCCTTCTCCACTGTTCATGTGGTTGTGTCGATCACTGTCAAGTCAATTTTTGTCATTCGACGAGCACTGTACCTACGATGACAGTGTGTTTCACTTTTGTGAATGTGTTTGTGTGTGTGTGTAGCAATGAGTCATGAATATTAAAAAAAATAAAGCCACCTTCTATCTGTACACATTGTTGAAGCTTTAGTTCATGATGCATCGTTAAAAAAAAAGTAGGAGGAGAAGGAGGAGGAGGAGGAGGAGATCCTTCAATCCACGGACTTCCGCGGTGTGCACACCAACAAACACACACACACGACCATCGGCTTTAAGTTACAAAAAAAAGTAAAAATAAAGAATTTGTGAAAGTCTTCGGTTGAGGCGCAAGTGACATCGACATCGTAACCAAGGTTTTTGGTGCTTTTTGGCAACCGAATGCCTCAAAAAAAAACAACAACATAAAGAATACAAATTAAATAAATCCTTCTCACAAGACGAGTCAATTGAATCATCTTGACATCCACACACAGGCTCTGTGACACAAGATTTTTAAACCATCTTTTTTTTTCACAGATCAAATTGGTCTAATTTCACGACAGAAGTGCGCGGTTAATTTAAACAAAACGCTAAAGTGCAATAAACGCGCGGGATTTGAACTACAAAGGGGTCTGCCTCCTGCCCGGAGGCGGAGCAGGGAGGTGGTATCGGGAGTCCCGCGGCCCAGTACGAAATAGGGCTAAAAAAGGCGTTTAGAAGTGTGAATTACATGCCTATAAATCAGACCTGCGTTATGCCTCCGGAGGAGGAATGCAATGAACGGTGAAACCATACGGCAAATGAAGTCTCGTGTCCCGAGAATGCATACCTTCTACCACTTTTTTAGACATTAAAGGGAGTAAATATGGTTTGCTTGGTTCTATTTTAATAAGGTTTAAAGTCATGACTAAAATAGCATCGTGTGTAGTGCTGCAAAAGAAATGGGGAAGAAGAGAGGAGAAAAAAAAAACACACATGCGAATGAAGCTAGCACGAGATGTTGGGCGGATTCCTTCCATCCAAAATATTCACCCTAGGTGAATAAGTAAGTGCAGAAATTGTGAAGCAGTTTTGGAGGGTGATGACAACTGCGGCTTCACTCCTTTGTTACTAGAAAAAAATTGCAGTCCATTTGGAGTTTGTTGATCATTCTATGGTGATATTGAAATTTAAACAACTACCCTTTGTTTATTAATCACGCGTAAATTGCATGTCTTGATGCCATTCAGCTGCACCATTTGTGTACATGACTAAAGGCAGGTAGCCAAGTAAAATGGAAAAGTCTAGTCAGTAAGGTAATGTTGGAAGGAAATTTATTTATAAACTGAAAAGCCTAACTTTGTCAATGCATGAGTAGCAGCACCAGCAATAGCAGAAAGAATAGTGGGAAGAAATGCGTAGGGACATGCAGACAAGCAGAAGGGGCTAAGTTTGAGGGAGTAAGATCAGTTGTGATGGACGGTGACCACTTCGCTTTGAGACACGCACCTCGAGGAGACCACAGCCATCATCGCGAGAACGATGGAGATGGTGGAGGCGAAGACGGCTAGGAAGTAGCCCCACATGTTACTCTTAATAGCTGTGTAAACAATAACCGCTATGAATGCCAAAGCAGCTCCCAGATAAATGAATACAAAGCGAGCTGTAATTAGTCCGGTAGCAGTGGTTTTTCTGCACAACAACACCACGTCAAGAAGAAAGACAATAAAAATGAAGACCACGCCAATCACCAGCATTGTCATAACTGCTAGCATAGCATCTCGATCTTCAGCACCCTCGGCAGTACAATGCTCAAAAAGGCTTCCACAATGCCAATCATTGAGACACAAAGCCGCTATCAAAGTGGCCACACAGAGGGCGAGCAAAAACACCGTCAATTTACGGATTATCATTGCACGGGAATGGAACACTCGATTACCTGCCACAACTTCATATACCTGCTTCACTTGCCACACCGATTGGATGAGGATGCTGGACCAATCCACTTTCCATCTCTACCAGCCAATCCATTATGAAGTGGTCGCCTCTCTTACAGTGGATGTTATTAACAAACCCCAATGCTGCCAACCAAGATGGTACACTGCTCTCACGATATGTTGTGGCTGTTCTGACCCGTTTCTCGATCTATACAGGTGAAAAGATTTGAGAGTAATGTGGTCTGCCACACGAAGACGAGACCCAAACATCGACATCGAGTTTATAAAAGAAGAGCAAAATTTGAGGCATTTTGAAATGTGCTTGCAAGAGGAGTTTTTATGATTGTTTCGGAGTACAAATTCGTCGACACTATTCGTAGGACTCCCACTGAAAACTAGGGTGGTAGAAAGGTGGCTTCAAGTCATTTGATAATATCAATGGGAAGTTGAATCATGAATGTTAAACAATTAGTGACAAAAGAACAAACGATTACAGTAATATATTCTAGCTTGTTTAAGTGGACTGTTATAAGTGAGAGGCGGAGAGAAATTTGGGAACGTGGATCACGTGCGCGAGGTCGGCGAGGAGCCTTCCTGCGACTGATATCTCCCACACACCGCATCTGTGTCTTATTCCCCATCCTTCCTACAACGATGCCTAATAAATCGTCTACAACCAACTTCCTCTTAAAGTCTGAGAGCCAGGGACCAGAGGGTAGACAGGCCGTAACTACAATTACAAATAGAAAGTGGGAAAATAAAAATGTGAAAAACAAAACCAAGATAAAATTCCTTCAATCAATTATTACAGAAAAATACTAATCCGAAGTTAAATTGTTCCTGTGATTCCAGGCTAACATTTCCTTATTACGACGTTAATGCTAAATTTTAGTTTCCGCTTAACAATATAAACAAAACCCAAAACTGGAGGGAAATTCAGAGGGCTCGATCAACATAGTCTCAGTTGCGTTCCTGTCCGTTGTGATGCTAAATATAAATATTTCGAACCACAGAAAGGGAATGACACTAATTGGGAAGTAGGCGCAAATTGCTTGAAAAGCATTTCATCAAATAGACGTTTCAGAACAGATTCTAGATGGTTTTCGGTCCGTTAGTTTCAATGCACAATCCAAGGAGCATTTTTAAAGAAGTCGATCATTAAAATGCCAAATCATCCAAAGATTTGACTGCAAAAATTTTAGTGGTTGATTCATAAGGGCGCAAAAATTACCATTTGTTCGTTGCTAAACTATTTAAGGAGTAAAACTTATAAACAAAAGGGAGACATAAATTTTGACCATGTTTCAGTCTAAGGATAAATTAATGATGGTTAAAGACCATTTCAAACGATTCTCTTCCCTGGTCCACACACAAATTATTATCACATACAACAGAACATAGGAATGAAAATGCAAATGATCTCACAGCATAATTCCTCCAATCTGGCTCCAACGACTTTGTGATTTTCCCAACTTGTAAAGCTCAGTCGCCATGTGGTAAGATCCCGATCTCAAAGCTGGATTTGGATTAAAAAATTGTGCTAAGGGCATTTTGAGTTTTATTTCTCTTCATCATCTTGTTGAGGTACCAAAAAACTAATTTCCAACTCGGTCGACGTGCACGGCTGCATGCTTTAAGCGAAACTGGCATTTTAAGCCATCAAATAGCGAAAAAAAAAGACTTAGCGTTTCGCTATGTGCTATTCAATGCTACCAAACGTTTAAGGTTTGATAGTTGCCATATTTGGCATAAACAAACGGATAACCTAAACTTAAATGCTATAAGAGTGAGCAAAATCCAAAATGAGTAAAGTGACCTTACTCATACATTCATTCGTGAGTCATCACACTCAGATGCTCGTTTTAGAGTATATTTGCTTTAATTATTTATACTCATGCGTCCAGAGGCCTCTTTATAGGCAGGAGAAGTCGTACTATTTAGGTAGAATGGAAATAGTCAACAAAAAGGAAGGAAGAATTTAGTCTTTATCCATACACCTGTGACAACAACACACGACCACGGCAATATGACCCCTTGAGCGACAGCAAAATAAACTGGTGGTCAAACAGTCAAAGTGCTACAAATCCCACAATTCACTGGTCAGACGCATCTGATTACATAACAGAGTTCTACAATGTGTTTGCGTTTTGAGGCGTGTTTATCGCGGAAGTCTTTAGTGTGAGATGGCATGGATACCGGCTAATTCCACACGTATTTTTCCACGCATTTCCGGTGCTGCTTCGCAAACTGTGAAATTTTTCAAGTGCCATTTAATTTGCGCGAAATGCAGCCACAAATCCCACACAGTGTGCAATCAAAGGAGGAAATCGTTGGCTAAATAAATTAATAGATTGTTTATACATCGAATGATTTTGCGCTCGTGATAATCTTCCTTCCAACGTCTTTCCTCTTTTTTTAAATTTTTAGCTCAATTATACGTGCAAAATGTGAAATGTTTACTACTGTCCTACAACCTGACATCTGCGATCTGAAATACATCCTGAAACAATCTTAATGACCTCTCGCTTAATTAGAGATTGTTTTTACAACTGGCCATCTCTTTGGTCGAGCAGCGTCCTTAAAGGTGCAATACCCTGAACCTAAAATACACCTTTGTACTTTAACTTAGTTTGGCTTCCAATCGCCTCGTTTCACATATCAGAAAAAGCCGATCTTTGGTTTTATTCGTGAGCAAAATATACTAAGACTAGATGTTCGAGGGTGAAGGTAAACTGTTCTAATTGTATTTAGTATTCTGAATGGTCATTCGGCTGTAGACTGAGTTGTTTGACAGTCCGAAGTAGACGTACCATCAAAAGACTGTTGGTTTGAACCTGTAACTAGCTCAGCTCTAATGTTGGCTACGCTGTGGATATTTGATTTTAATGATCTTCAGCAATTAGATTTGTCAAAAAAGAAAACTTTTGCATTTGTTGTATGCATGACTATTTGGCACATTTAGGCTTTCATTTTTGGATCCACGTAAAGATGTAATGCAGTCCAGCCAGTATATTGTAGTGCCGAAGATTGCACTTGGTAGTGGGAGGTTGTGAGTGAACTGCTAAAAAAGCCATACTTTAAAACAAAAGTACAGATTGTGAAGAATAAAGGCCAGTGAATTTGACTGCAACTTAGGAAATACCACATAGCACCCCACACGGTCACTCTCCCGTTGCACACTTCGATCCTGACGGCGTTTTCCTTTAAAAGGGCAAAGTGCAAAAAAGGCGGGATGTTGTTATTAGAATGATTGTTTGAATGCAGGTATTGTGGCGCCCCAAGGCTTTACTCTAAGTGGAAGAAGGCCTAAAATTGGAGGAAAAATACATGTCTTTTAAGGAGAAGGGAGTGAAGAGTGAGCTTTGGCTTGATCCACGCGCACGAGAGCAAGCCAACCTCCAAAGTGACCGTCAGTAGTAGAGGCATTGACGTAAACAAAGCAATGTCGGTAGTGATTGTGGTGGAGTGGTAATGATCTCTAGGCCATGGAAAATATTCCGTTTTCCTTCCATTTTGCTTGAATACATTTATTTGTCCCAAGTGATGTGCATTCCTGTTATCTCAAGAAAGTCATAGCGCTTTGTAGCTATGAAGCGAAACTGGCTTCTTTTCCAGGTGTATTCTACAGGCCACTGGCCTTACTGTGCAAGCCCTAGAATGCCGCCACTGCTGGCGGATGTCAAGCTTTGGTAATATTTTTGCAAATTAGATGTGCAGGTCTTACCCTCACACGATCTCATGATCTAGTGGAAAACTTATTCGGTGTTGCTCCTCGTTTAAAAACGGTTTCATAGTTGATGATGGAGAAATTTGAAGCCCTCTTAGGAATGGAAAGGCGCGGTAGGACATACTGAGCTAAGCGCTCTTAAAGATAAATGCAATGTGGTCGTTTAGTGCTGACATAACTCGTACTTAGAACATTTTGCCCATGTTCACAGATAGGTTCTGAAGACTATCGCAGTAATCTCTAGGACATAACCACAAAATTGTAGGACGTAGGACGGAGTATTGTTTTTAGCGATAGCAGGATGATTGCAAAAGAATGTATGGGATAAGATTTAGCAAAAACAGGGGCACTATAGTAATAAGTAAATCTGTGCAAGACTGATTCTGATTTTTTTTTCATTTGACAGTAGAAGGCATTAGGTGGAGCTGAACCCTTGTATTTGGAGAGAAGTGGAAGATGTAGGGCTTCCACCTGGGTCGCAGAACATCTCACATTATCAAGGGCAAAATGGATAGCAAAGCGACTTCCTTCCACGCAGGCATTCGAATAAACACGATACTATAGACTCTCTGACTAATTGCTCCTCCGAACAAATAGAACGACTTAGGGGATCGGAATGAGAGTATGCTGAGAAAACAGTTCCAAACCAAAGATTTAACACGATGCATCAGCACCACTTGAAACAAATAGCGTGTCGCATGAAGAGAGCTTGACTTCTGTTTGGCGTGTTAAACAAGATCAACTACGTGGTTTGAGACCTATGCAGATAATTTTGAAAAAGAGCATAGCGTCAAGAATCGTACATAAAGCATAACTATAGGACTTAATACTTTGCATATTTGGTTTTAGATTTCGATAATATAGGCACCAGCAATTTATATAGCTTCCATTGCCATTTACAAAGTGCTGGTCATCAAAACGCATAAACATAAAGAGAATCTATTCGCTTTAGAACAACAAAACCACTAATAATATTGTTTTATAGGGACGCACAACATTAAAAAACCTATGTTGACCTCTTTCAATGGCAATGCTAAGTAGGCTCTATTTTCGACTTATGTGTGGGGTGTGCCTTAGTTGCTACTTGAACAACGTCTCATAGAACATACCTAGGGGATCAGTCCATTTGGCGAATCTTAAGATACAGTGCTAGTTGTGTACTTACGGTGTACAATGCAACGTATTAGGGCTTGATTCATTGAAGTGATGGTGGCATTGTCGAAGATTTATGTGTTTCATACCATTGTGATGCAATCGAGTTCATTAGATTAATTATGTCGGTGCGTCAAAGTTTTTTTGGCGTAGGCATGAAGTATTTTCTGCATTAATACCAACAAATTGAGCAATATTACGTTTCATATGTGGTTTGCAGCAATAAAGTTGCCTGATCTAGTTGGAGTTTTTACGTTTTAGAAATGGATGACAATCCCTCATTTCCGTCATACACTCCCACACCGATTCGACTCTTGGATGCGTCCAAGGAGAGAGCTTCGGAATTAGTTTATAACCCGACTCCCATTGATGAACTCGATCGATATGCTCCAACCAATTTTTCGGTGGCATATGCACCGGTTCCATCTACATTATTTGCCCCTGAAGTACCTACCTATTCTCCTGTTGTTCCGGCCAGAGCTACTGAAAGTGCTTCCCGCGAAACTTTTGGATATGCTCCTTCCCAAGTTGCCTTAAGAAATGAGGCTCCTAATCTAGAATGCAATTCCGTGCATTCGTATGGGACGAAACGGCCTTCATCAGCGGAAACTGCTGTTGACGTTGCTGAAAAACGCAAAAAGATTCTCTCTCTTTACTCTGATTTGTATGAAAAACCTGAAGAACCACTTCCACCGTCACACCATAGATTAACTTTACCAAGGTCTGCACCGGTAGGTGTGTTATTTATGCTTGTTTTAATATCGCAACAGTCTTTAAATGTAAAATCCAGTCCGGAACCGTCGGAAACTCTGCCCAAAACTCGACCCAAGCAGCCACTGCGACCAAGCAACAAAATTCCAATGCCTATTCGTAAGCGTTATCTGGAGCAGTTCATCGAGGTCTGTATAAGGATTTGTGCGTCTTCGCCGGAGGCCTATGCTATGGTAACAACAAATTTTTGAAATTAGTTCGAAAACCACCAAATACACCCACAACTTTTCTGTTCCGAAGGCTTTGCGTGAAGAACAAGCTTGTCATGATAAGGCCCAGAATCGGCATATCTATCTCCATTCGGTCATCAGCTGTCTAAAGAATCTAAGTTCTCAACCAGCCTACAAACCCGAGCCGGCGGCATTGCCTGCAAAACATAGTGAAAAGCCAACGGTAAAGAAGTCTCATTCGTCGGGTAAAGATCTTGACGAGGTGGTCAAAGGTAAAGTAGATGCGATGTTCACAGACTTACAGTTTCTACATATGCATTTTTATTACCATCATTCAAAGAGTGTTTAAATGAGTTTAAGTTTATTGAACATGGAGGTGAGATGACTGTGTTTGATTTGTGATAAGTCCTTTGGTGTGTTTTTATGGTTTGTGTGCTTTGAGTGCATAATAAATAGGGGCACTTTTAGATCTGCTTAAAATAGCGTGACGTGGTGGTTTTTATGTTGCCTCATTGTAACTCTATTTACGAAGTGGAGTGTCTTAATAATTACGAACGTCTACGTCAATCAATAGGTCCAGTGTTTTACAAAGAGTTAAAGCCTTTTCTCCTGACCGAGGAGGAGCTCGTTCATAACAAATTTCCACGACCCGACAACTCGGAAGGTGCTCCTCGGGGAAAGGCGATTATTGCTGTTCCTGATGAGAAAAAAAATGCTGTAGAACTATATGCGTGTATGTCAGCCAAGTATTGCACTGTTTTGCGATACTCATTGCCTTATTAACTGTGCTAGGCACGTCCCGATAATTTGATTTATAATTGCAATTTTTAGTCAAGAAGCGCCTTTGTTGTCGATGCGGCAAAGCCTATGAAGTTGACGAATTTGGGGTGGCAGTTACGAAAGCCGAATGCGTCTATCATTGGGGCAAACCAATCCGCCGCAGAAGTTAGTGGTTTTTTACAAATTATTTTTCTCATTTTACTGACTCAAGCACTGCTTGTTAACTTGAGGCTATGGCTACTGAAAATGTCACCTACTTAGTCCAATTCGTTCTGGATTCAGCAAGAATTTCTACAATAGTTCCTTCAGCATCTAGTAATGGTATCATTTCAGCCTCCTCCGTCGTAAGAACTCATGTTATAAGGGTGTTGATAAGGCTCACAACTAAAACTTGTCGTTCTGATAAATTTGTTTTCCTTCTCAGTGCCCGGTTCAGGTTTCGATTTGCACTACACCTGTTGCCAAGCCGAGAGTGGGCAAGAGGGTTGTCAGGTCGCTCCTAAAGGTCACGTTAACGATACAAATAAGTGGTGTGACCTGGAGGGGTACCTGACAACTCTGCCTCCTGCGTTAGAAAGTTTGACTGACGAACCGCGGGTCAACGTCTACTCCCTCGACTGCGAAATGGTCTATACCACTGGAGGGTTGGTAGTGCTCTTCCACCTTTGATAGTATCATGACTTGGTTATTTTGTGTTACTGACTCACAGACGTTCTGAAAGTGTTTGTTAATCAAAATATTAATAAAACCGACGGAATAGTCGGTTCAAAGATGTTAACATGGTTGACGTCTCCTTTAATCTCTTCGAAAGAATTGTGCTAGAATGCTTGTGCTGGGTTTCACTCATTCCGTTTTTCACAAAGGCTTTGCCATTGATTTGATTTGAGCCTCTATTACATTAATTACATAAAGCTTGACTTGGGACTTTTTTACCGTTCTCAAGTGATTAATGACTCCTTTGATGTCTGCTGTATTTATAAAATCTCCAAATCAGTAAGCCCCAGGTTTTTGTCAGTCGTTGGTGGCTGTTCGTTCAGTATGTCCATCTATTGTCACGCTTCAACCTCTAAATTTTCTACCTAAGCATTGTGAACCTGAGTCGGGATGGAGCTTCATGTGCAAACTTTCGAAATGTCTGTTTGATATAATCGAGGCGCTATCCCAATGCTAATGGTGACAACAGGCAATCGAAGCTCGACTCCGTCTTCCGTCCACCTATTCACTTGCATTTGACATTGGCGGCTGCCTAGCTTTTTCAATATGTTGCCTTTTTAGCTGTGAATTGGCTCGCGTCACTGTGATAGACACAAATCTGAACGTGGTTATCGATAGGGTCGTTCGACCCCTCAATCCCATCATCGACGCAAACACGCGCTTCTCGGGCCTGTCGATCGAGCAGTTGGAGGCCTCACAGCTGCAAATCACGGATGTGCAAATGGAGCTTTTGCAACTCTGGGACGAGGATACCATCCTCATTGGACACAGCTTGGAAAGTGATCTCACCGCCCTTAAGGCAAGCCACTTGATTTGTGTTGCCTTGGCTAAAGGTTGGATTTTTGTGCTTAGTGAATTGGGGAGATTTTTTCCTGATAACACGTACTAAGCCTTTGTTTAGAATTTGTTGTTGTAACTGAACGGCAGCTAGTTGAGAGTGTATTCGTCCCACTCGTTAGCGTAGTCAGTAAATATGGCTTGAATTGGATGAGAAAAGTGTGTCACATTTATTCCTCATCAAGACCTTTTTTTAAAAGCGGATATTTTACCGTTCAGGAAGGTTGAAAACATGAGATCAAAGTCTATAGCCTTGCTTTTCATTCATGGACAAGGTTATCGTGGAAAATGGTTTGAGCCTCGTCCATCGCAGTTGCAGTCTGACACACCAATGCCTCCATTTGCAAACTTGGACTAGTAAAGTTTCGAAAATTGCCTCCCCGTGTTAATCCCCATGTAACTTTGTCTCAACTCAATGATAAAGTCTCAAATTGACGCAATAACACTTTTGTGTTGGCAGTTCATTCACAGCAAGGTGGTTGACACCTCAATCACCTTTCCGCACAGGAGGGGGCCACCCTACAAACGGGCTCTCCGAACAATCGTCAGTGAATATTTGGAACAGATCATCCAAAGTGATGGTTAGTGAGTTGTTACCTTCACTTTCGCCTAGCTGACACATCTTCTTCTCCTGTCACTTTACCTTCCATATTTAAGATTTTGTCAATCAGCCAGAAATCACGAGTGACCTCAAAGCTCGGAGTGTAGCATCGCAAGACTTTTTTGTGTTTGAGTAGAACACACGCAAAAGGCAAGAGAAGTAGGGTCGCCGACCTGGCTGAGACGTCAGTTCACTCCCATGCCACTTAAAGTAGTTTTAGAGGACACAGAAAGTGCTTTTTGATAAATTCATGAGGCGGAATTGGATCGTCAAGTCGAAACCATATCTAAGCATTTGATAGCAATGCGGATAGGCTCACCATTCTGGTGATCTGACGCGCCTCTGTGATGATTTGCAACTGCTGGTGTGTAGTTCGCAAACTTGCACTACTGCTTGTCTGGCCAGTCTAATTTCACCTCCTTAAAGGGGCTGAGATTACCCAACTCTTTTTCTGTTTTTTTTTTTACAGAGGCCGGTCATGACAGTAAGGAGGATGCAGTTGCGTGCATGCGACTAATGCAAAAGAAGGTGAAGGAGTGTCTGCAGAAGAGAGTACGCAAATCCTCGCATTAACAGTCGCCTCGTCCATCGTGATGTCGTGTACATGTACCCCTTTTATGAATTGTTATTACAGGGTTCTCTTCTTGTCTGACAAATGCTTCAGTTTGGGAAGCAAGGAGAGGGAGAGGAAGGCTACTTGGCTACAGCTACTCGCTGTCCATTGTCAAGACTTTGTTGCTGCTTTCGAGATGACACAACTGTCTTCTGACGTAGGTTAAGTGACTTTGATAGCCGTCAACTCTCCTTCCAATCATGTCAACGCCTCTTCAACAACTCGTAGACCTCACTCTTGCACGTTGTATAGTTACTTGGCTAGAATGTCAAGGCTATAAGCAGAGTTCATAGAGGTACGCAAACTGCTGAATGTGTGAGGGAAGAAAAGGAGACTGACAAAATGTAGGGTACTTGTTAACCTTGAGGAGCCATTTACACACTTTACCATGGGTTTGGAATCTGCAAGGAAACATTAAATCAACTGCCTACGCAATATGGGTGTACATATGAACAGCTAAACTCAGTCGGAATGTTGAAAGGGTGGCAGTGGCAGGAAAGGAGGATTAGGAGGTGCAACCTTTTAAATCCGTGCATGTTAAAAGGCGGCAAGAAACTCCAGAAGGGCAGTATAACAGAAGGCATATTGACTTTCATCCTCAATCATATGACTTCGCTGAGATCGTAGAAGTCGTGTTGTCAGTAGGAGGTCGACCATACCCTCACATCGCATTCTTTCGAGGAGAATGCTTAGAGCAACAAATATGCCCGTACGACCAGCGCCAGCGCTAAACACCAATTTAGACACTGTAAATGCGTTAAGGTCTTTTTTTTTCCTATTTTCACAAAACTCACCTGCAATGTACAGTGATGGGACCGTCTTGACCAAATTGAACTTGTGTTTTGTGAACCTGAGAGATCAGTTCAATGAGAGTTTCAGATGCTCTTGAAATAGGAGTTCCATTGTCTGGCCAATCAGAAAATTGAAATTGTCGCAATGTTCGTGATTGACCATCCTGTGTATCAGTGATACGAAATTCTCGTAGAACAAAACTCGGCATGTTGTATTCCACCATAGGCTCCACAAGAAATTGCTCATAACGTTGTGAACGCTCCGAGGGCCAATATTGAAAGCACTGTTCTCGTCCATTCTCAATCACTTGACCCAGCATTACAATGATTGGCGAGTTGTGCTCCCACACCATTCGCCAGAAGTCCTTTGTGGTGCTGGCTAATGGAGCCTGAGTGGCAATGTAGGCTCGTTCATGCCAATAACCATCAACAAAACTGGCGTTTATATAATCCGCACCTTCTACACCACGCACAGTGGAGAGCACAACCCGATTGTATTCATATGGCAGGACTAAATCCAACCTATTCTTATTGCGATTCTCAGGCAAAAGGGCACTGGTGCATTGAGAGGGCACCTGAAGGTTTATCGAGACTCGCTGAAAGGGATGAAATAGTAATAATCGTCATAATCACCATCACTTCCTTTTTCTTCTTCTTCTTCTTCTTCAAGTACAGCATCTTTGAAGTCAAGCGCCCACCTTCTATCACACAAGCAATACAAATTGTGCCTTTTTTAAATGCACAGCCTGAGTCATGCGCACATTTTACAGCTCTTTAAATACTGAGGCACAGCAAATGTACTTTGTTTTCAGGAAATCAGACTAAAATTACTCACCACTAGAATAAATTGCACATATGAAACCGTTTCAAAGTTTATTGCTTAAGTGGTTTGGAAAGACATAAAGCGGACTACAAGTTCTTGCCACAATGATGAACTTTAGAAAACCAGTCCTCTGCACGGAAGTAAAACAAAAGTGAGATACGCCTTCCACTTCAAAGGTTTTCCATTTTTGTCGAAGGAGAAAGGAGGAGGGCAAGGAGAGGGCGCAAACGGTGTGCCATGAAGTGAGGTGAAAACATCACTGATGACAGTTTCATCCCAAAGTGCTGATTTCTGGTGTGAAATTGGCTGGTCATACTGCCAGTAGGTAGTTGGCAAAAAGTGCAATTCATCCCTGGTGCTGTGGCACTTTTCCAGCTTCAGAGAAGTCCTAGGAACACCACACTGATCTCACCTAGTCAAACGCACAGCTATGAAGACTGATTGAAGTGAGAAGAGCTTAGAAGATCAAAGTTACCTTATTGTGACAAAGACAAAGGCGATTTTTGGACCAATTTAATCAAAATTTGTGCTATTTTCTTTTTACTTCTCCATGAGGCCTAGCGCTGATGAGTACCACAATTTGATATTCTCCTGGTAACATTAACTATTTTGAAGGTATTTTCAATTCACCCTTCAACCACTTGAATATAACAACTTGGGGGGTAATTGACGCACCAAATTGCAACTTCTGCATCAACCGTTACAAAAATGGTTCCCCTGGAGAGGGGAGGAAAGGAGGAAATTAAACAAAGCAGTGTAATTGTTTACTGAGTGTCTGTGTGTCAGTTTCGGTTACGATCACTTGGGTGGTCATATCGCTCCGACCGGATGGGCTGGCCTCGGAACTATGTCAACAATCTCAATTCCTTCCTGTCCACAGACTGTATGTATACATTCTATCTGAGGCCGCTTTTGGCTGCAAGGAAGTTGCCAAACACTACGTTGGTGGCATGAGAAAGCGAACCGACTTTGTTTGAGTTTCGTTATGGTCACTGCGGGTGAGGACAGCCAATGACAGCAGAACCAATCTCCTTCCTATCCACATACTGTGCCTTCTGGTGTCTTCAAGGGGTTCTCCCAACGCGGCAAAAGAACACACATAACTTCAGAGGACTTCCGTACTTACTCAAACCGCTTTACACCAACCTCAGCAGTGGAAGAAACACCAACTTCCAGTGAGAGGAGGGTTCGAAAATGACGTTCCCCTCTAGCATCTACCTCAACCCCAAGGAAACTATTAAAAACGAAAGTGATGTCCTCCACCGACTATTTGTGGATGTAGAACAGTGCCGACTCCCATACCCACTTCCCAAGTCTACTTTTAGCCCAGTGCTCCGATGCCTGGTGTGAGCAGAAGAATTACAGTTCTTGAGTCGAGTTTCGAACTGGACAAAAGCTTCTGGATTTAGAGGATTTCGTGAAAAAAAAGACGTGCGATTCCGATGACTAGCATGAATGGCTCAAGAGCACTCTCATTGTGCATGACTATGACGTTGTGGTAATTGTGTCAAGAGAAGCGATGGGAAAGAAGACACTCTCGATTGCGGTGCAACCACCTGGATGACCATAGTAGCTTGACCGAGGAGGTATCAACTCGCCCAATTCCCTCACATTCGAGTGTAATGCCCCTGACCACCTTCAAGAAAGTCTCCAGACGTTACCCACACGCAACGCTGCAACGACTCTTTCGGAATGTGGCAGAAAGGCCATTCAAATCCATACATTATGATTTATAGTTTGGATTACTGACGTCTTAGGATAGTAAGTACGGAGTTCGCTCGATAAAATTGCGAGTTTGTCTGAAAGAACAGTAAAGAGCATTTTAATTTGTCAACGGATGCAAACAACCGAAGTCGGTTTGAATTGATTAATCAAAGAATTCCGTGACAAGATGCTATAGCGCCTCGTCTGACGGCAACAGATGTTCACGGCCGTAAGAAAGATTGGAAAAGCAGTACCAAGTAGCACATAGTTTAATGCCTGTTGTCGTCATTAAAAAGCGTCCTTTCATTGGCATCAAGTGGTGGTAACATGCTTTAAGCATCTGCAATTATGATCCTCCAGCTGTGAGAGAACAGCGGTTTTACTTGTGTTGCTACTACCGATAAACTTATAAGCGACTTTTATGAAAAAAAGTATTTAAGTTATTGGTGTGCATCCATCGAGTAACTTCAAATCTGGTTGACGCATGAATAAAGTGAAGGCATTACGCAGTCAGTTAACTGCGCCCTTAATTTCGACAGCCTTTCAATCTTTGCGGTTGGTAGTTCCGTCCCGAAGCATCACTCTGCTGCCACGCCTTCAGGCCTGCAGCCCTTCAGACTGCCTGGAACTAGCACACCACACGGAGGAGGCTTTGCTTTCCATGCTGTGGGCAATCAACAAAGCTGCTTTGTGCTTTGAAGTAAAAAGCAGGCAGTTCGCATGCACCAAGTGTGTAGAATTCGCCAGTCTTGATAAAGCCGCCTATTGTTCCACAGTACAACAATGGTTAGGGTGACAATGCATTTCTGATGCAATGTGTGATAAAGGCAACATCAAAACATCGCGCCTTATAGGTGGAGAAAGGAAACAATGCGTCGTAAAATATTTCCAACTCAAAAATTTCAATCTCCAGCAGGTGAGAATTCATCAACAATGCATCAATGCAGTGAACAACGCCATTTGGCAGTTCAATCTAACCTGAAATTCCAGTTCTAGAGCACTTATGCCTGTGGGGAAATTGCCTTTCAAAGCGCCCCTAGTTGCATGATCTCCAAGGTACATACTGAGTGTTGAAGTGGGTGCCATTTGACGCAGCTTCATGACATAATTGTAGAGGTTGTGTGCAGTCACCTCGCTGCCTGCCACTTGCACCGCCTCGACCATGACCTCGTAGAGGAAGGCGTACTGCTGCTCTGTTTGCACCATGAAGTTGCGTTGAGTGCGCATTCGACTCACAGCACCGAATATGTCCACCGTGTCCTCTGCTCTGATACGATCCAATTGCGAGTCCACGGCTATGAAGGCGCCTTCAAGACAAAAAAGGGCTCGTGTTGATCGCAGTAGAATCCAGTAAAGCCACTAATTAATAAACAGTTTGGTTACTACAGCGTTGGGAGGCTTTAGCAAACTCCATTTGCTCACAAGGCATTACATGAGTAAAATAGACGGAATCTACGTCATCGCCATTCCAAATACCTTCACACCAAATGATTCACTTCAAGGCGATAGAAAAGAACAAACAACGCAAGTCAATTTCAAAAGCCTTTTTGATGAGAAAGGAATGCTGGACGGTGCAGATAAACAATGTTTCCCAAAAGTTCCCTTTTATAGTCCACTTTACGTCACGAGGTTTTTTTTGTTCTTTCTTTCTAGCTTCAAATCCAGTGTTTTTACTGGTAAACAAGAGTTCCAACTCCAAGAAACTAATTTGCCTCTTGCGTGATTAAATCTGACGCCAATAAAGGGTGAAAAGAGGTTTTGCTTTTCTGTCACGAAAAGAGAGAGAGAGACCTGTAAATGCAGTCAATTCATTACCACAAAACCATTTAGCGCCCAAAACCAAAATGAGCATAATTTAAGTCGCTACAGCATTTAAAAGCCCAAACAGCTAAGAATTCCCACATCAAAGAATGCGCAAATAGGAGCAGAGTTGGTAAAAGCTCGCCAGAGATTAGGTGTTCCGGTCTATTACAACCGTCCGACCGCCATCCATTGCTCGAATTTAAGCACAACACATGCAATTCTTCAATCAAAAATGCGCAAAATGGTGAATTGTACACCCACCACCCCCTTCCGTGGATGCGATGATTCTGATGTATGTCGAGAATAATGCCTCCAAAGCGTCTTGTAGTGTAAGCTGGGTGGGAAGGAATGCCATCTCGAGGGATGACAAAACCAACTAACAGAATTAGGTTTAATCAATTAGGCGTCAAGCAGGGAGAGAGCACCCTTGTCTAAAAAATTGGATTAACTGTGCACAGTAAGCGAATTGTTTTTGATAAGTAAACAACCTTTAGGGCAAAGGGGTCAATCACACATTCGTTGGATCAAATAATGAGACACGCACACGAACACACAAACCTGTTCTTCCAACGCCAGCCGAACAATGGACAATGGTAGGCCCTAGGCGAGCAGACGCGGGAGTGCCATTGTCCTGTCCCCTTTGAACTTGTTGTTGTTCCATAACGTTGCGCGCCTGACTGACTTGACGAATGAAGAGGAGAAGGGGTTGTGGTTGCTCGGGAGCTCCACAATCAGGCCATGCAGTAAATTGAAATTGTTTGATTTGACGTGATTCTGACAGGGGTTGAAGACTTTCCAGTCCATCTGTATAGCTGCTGTGAAGGTTCTGTGAGGCAGCCTCACCAGCGGCCGAGGTTGGAGCCATCTTTCGAAGGCTAAACGTGCGAATAGTGTAGTAGGCGTAGTCCGTAGCATCAAGAAGAGTGACTGCAAAGGCAGTATAGTCGACGAGAGGCGACTTCGCCTCGTTTTCGAGGCAAATTTGGTATACCTCAGTGCCACGAGAGGGCCAGTACTGATCACACTTAAGACGCGACCGCTCCTCCAGCTTTGTCATCATGACAATCACTCGCGAGTTCTGTTCCCACACCATACGCCAGAAATCGCCAAAGGTTTCAGGAAGTGGACCCTAGAACACGTAGCAAACGACTCTTTTCAGAGGAAATTGCCTTATTCAAGGCCTTTAAGCAATTTCTTTGCAAATACATCTCAACAATCTTGCTAATCAAACTATGACCTTGAATCCTACTACTTAAGTCATTTGACCCACTTGCTCACCAAAAATTCAGAAAGTATACGTGTATGTGTAGCTGACTAGAATCATTCCTTTTCATTCCTACTGCCTCGAAAAAAGGTTGTAGTGCAAATAGTAACTAGGGTAAATGCCCAACCAGTTTACTTTTTAGATAATTTGGTACTTCTCCGCCAAACGTCTGACCAACGACACAGACTCCAAATAATAGTAGTTGTTTGGAAACAAAGAAGAATTAGAATAATAAGAAAAAAGTTTGAAGAATTCAAACGGTTGCGTCGAAGGAAATCTAGGTACAAAGGAAAGTATTAATAAATGGGACGCATTTTAACTGACTTACCGGTAATGCAATACCAAAAGTTTTAAGGTGGTGAAGATTATCTAAATGTGGATTATGCCTACCTGAGTGGCAATGTAGGCGTTTGGTCGACGATAACCATCCAGGTAGTTAGCGTTGATGTAGTCTGAGCACGGCACCCCAGGAAGTTGGCTCAAAATTACTCGACTGTGATCGTAGGCAATGACATTGGCATACCGATTTTTGGCCTTATTCAACTCCATATTGGCATGTTGCCATGTGAAACCACTACCAGAGTCGATTGCCTCATATTCCTTGTAGAGACCGTTATTGTCGAAGGACTTGAGGTTAGCCACATGAACAGCTAGGTGACTGAGAGAGATGGGTGACTGAGTAGGGAGGAGTTGACCCAACATGGACTGTGGCGTCTGTCGGAGTGGCGTGCCTGGCGCCGAGAGTGTTTGCATTGGTGGTGCATTATCGAGCGCCTTCGAGATTTGTGATGTTGGTGATGCATGAGCACCAGGCGGATGCGAAGAATTGCCTACAATATAAAGGTGTACCAGTCAGCGCCTTTAAAAAAGTACAGATTTCGCTAGGGATGAAGGTGTGAAGTGAAGCAAGAAGTCTACAACCTGTTTTTTTTTTTTACGCAAACATTCACCATGACGGAGTACTCATTACCTGCCTCCTAGTTCCGTTCCCATTCATTCGACTACTTTCATGACCTCCATGCCCCCTCCCCTCTCTCCCCCACTTGGTGACAGGCTGTAAAAGGCCCTTGGAAGGTGAGCCAAGACTATGTCGAATTGACACGAGATTCCAGAACAGCAAGGGAGTTTCAGCAAAAGAACACTTCGAGAGCTTCAGTGACTGTGTCGTAACACCACCGCCCACCCAACCATAAGCGACCCAGCAATGGGAAGCATCAAACAAAAAAAAATTCCTCTACGCCCTCGTCAGCAAGATACGAAGCTGTAGAGTTTTTTGTAAAAAAGGGAACATGAAGCAAACATTTTACACAAAAGAATTTAAAATTTGCCCTACAGTAGGGTGAATCACAGGTCCTAAAACAGGCACCCATTCACAAAGCCTGAACCAAAAGCCTTCCATGTCAGTTGATAATCTCAGTTTGGGGCATTATCTTGTGCATATCGGCCTTTTGAACCCTTTTTAACAGTGGTTGCTGAGATGACGATCCAATGTTGAATTGGGTCAAGTAAACAACAAAATGCATGAATGGAGATCATAATAGTGGAAAAAGGAATACTTTTACCACGATTCACTTCAAACTGTGCAACTCTCAGACAATACAGTAGGTCGGAAGCTTACCGGGTGAGGTGGAATCCGTGATGTAGTCTAAAAGGAGGGAAAGAGGACAGAATACTACCTTATTGCTATCAGAACACAATCGCACTGTCATGCGGATACAACAGTTGGAGGAGTTATGTACATAGCACTACAGCATAAGCAACTTCCGACGCGGCATCGAAAGACATGGCCAAGCCACGCACACACACTCCACACGATGCAAACATTTCACCCAGTAATTTAAAATCAGAACGAGTCCAATGAGGTGATTTATGACATGGTGCTTTAAAGCCACCGTTTACATCAAAAACTTGTCTTAAATGTGTTTTTAAAAAATGGTGAGTAAACTAACCATTTCCACTTTGAATTTCAACAGAATGCATTTCCACGGGGTCGATTCCGGGAACGAGACTTTTGTGATGCGACGGTGGCATGAGTGGCACCTTTAGACTGTTATCCGTCTTCGGCAGCTTCGCACCGATAGAGTTGCGTTGTTGTTTGGGTCTGCGTCTAGACAGCGCCAGAATTGAGAGAGCATCACGTAGTCAGGGCAGAGGAAAAAAGAACCCATCAAAGTTGTCAGATGTGACAGTTTATAAATGGGCAGGCTTATGGCGACTAGAGGAAATTTTTTTTGCTGTCGGAAAGCAGATGCTTCCACCATGGTGTTGTCAATGTGGCCGAGGGCAAAGTAAAATCCCGACAACAAAGCCATCAGGCCTATTGTCCTATTCGTGTTTCGTCCCTTTCCTTCCCCTTGCCTCCCCCTCCCAAAACCTTTGGCCAGCAGCAATGCCAGAATTGGCTTCAACCTCACCACTCCGTCTGTCAAAAGACACTCAAAATAAAGCAGACTAGGCAGACATCGCGTCGGGTTACAAACTTATCCATTATGGTGTAACGAGAACCTGGGAGAGCCTATAGTAACAAATTATGTAACTCAATAAAGTGACTGGAATAATTGTATTACCACTAAAGTGTTTACTCATGCAAACAAGCTGCTTTATGAAATGTCTGCTTCAAAGGGTGGAAAGAGAGTACCGGAACAAAATATGCACACCTGTAGGTACACACAAGCTAACTGGACCTGGAAAGGGGTGTTTTGGAAAGCACAATTTTGCTATAAAGGATGCGATCAATCTCAATTTGACAGCAAAAACAAATATGAGAATGTAGGCCACGATATGACCCATAGCAATTAGGCAGACGGCTTTAAGATGAAAGTTATTTGGCAATGCAATAAAAGCCAGCTAAGTAAATCGGTGCCAATTCAGAGTATCTCAAGGCAAACACTTTAATGATAGGTTGTAAAGCATTCACATAGTGTGTCAACAAACCTGAAAAAGCATTGTACAGCAATACAGATGAGGGCAACCAATGCGAGACCAATTATAACAGTAACGAGGATGACGGTGAAAAAAGACGGACCGGTACGATTTATTACACCATTGGTGGAGCCTCCACCGCCACTTCCAGCTAAATCGGAAATGCCATTCGCCCTGGTGATTATGAGACTCTCTTCAGGCGTGAATGTAACCGACCAACGACTAGAAGAGCAATAATTAGGGTTGATGCTATCCTCGTATTCATCGCCTTTGTCACCAGGGTCAGTAGCAGCTTTAGACATCACCTGATTCCCATCGGTGTAACCGAGGCTCGGGCGTTTATGAAGCGGTACAGAATACTGAATATCTGGATATATGCATGCAAGGAGTATTGCCTAAAATAATTCAAAAATGTCATAAAAAGTGAGGATTATAAAAGTGCACATCTACTCGAACGTTTACAGCCTACTTTTGACTACATATTCTTGCGGGGAAAAAATCAAATGCTCTTGCAGGCTATTCGTACTGGTAAGTCTTAAAAACTGTTACATGTAATTCTATGCGATTACTAGTGCTTGGGATAACGAAACACTGCTTCTTGACATGAATAGTATGCATCGTTGGTGAGTGAAGGTCCTTTTTCTTTAGCAATTACAACTGTAACTACAACATAAATTCCTGCTAACAATTGGAGCATACCTTGTAGTGTTTATCCCGTGACAGTTTACAATCATATAACAGTATTTCTGAGTGCGATTGACTTGGGTCATCATTAAATATCTTTGAAGAAGGCAGACCAACTTCTGGAGGCACTTTTCGACCCAGAGAGCGCCGAATCCGTGTAAATTCCTCCCGACTACCAACTTGAACTTCCAGTTGGGTGGAATCGAAGGCTAACTGAGTGAATTCTGCCGCGACACGAGTTTCAGCTTCGTTTCCATCCGGCGCTACACGCAGAAGCTGAAAAGATAAAAGCCTTTTATTGTTCTTGCCAAATTTACACTGTCCACCCCAATAAAGGTCGCCACACTCGTTCAAGAGGCAAAATGACGCACAAAATGGCATGTCAGCTGAATGCATTAAAAGATATGCAATCAAGATCGGTTTCAAAGTATGCCACATTGGTAAGAACCTATGAAATCCAACTAAAATAAAAAATATGGTTGATTTATATGAAGTTCTCCACGGAGAATGGCATGATAAAACAAGCTGACATAACCCCCACCCTGTTTGGAAATCGTAGAACGGCAGTGGAGAGCAAAATATACTTGTTTAATTCAATCTCACAAAGTTGTTCATAAACCAACACACTAAAGTAGACATTGACCACATTCTGTGTGCAATCTGTTGCCAAAGAAAACCTAAAACGTACCTCACTGTGCCAGTCTATGTGATCCGCCAAACTCAAGACTCCAGCACGTTCCGAACTACTGATAATGAGGTAGTATCGACGAATTGGTCCCAAATTTTCGCTGACTCGTAAAAGGCGCACAGAAACCTCATTGGTGTCTGCTTTGAATGCTACAGGAACTGGTGCCGTGATGTTTACAGGTGCTGCAATAGAATCATATTAAAACGGTATAAATTCCTTCGAAGAGCAGAATTGTTAATGGCTTCCTCAATCCATTGGTGTTATTCAAAAATACGATTGCAAATGCCGTATGATAAATACCTTTTCACACACACACACAAAGTTATGACAGAAGCAAACATCGTTACAATCTTTCCCCCACCTATCTACACTCTCATGACTGTCCACTAAATGAGTGGAAATTGGAGTGAGCGGATTTGCCATGGATGACAATCAACTTACACTGAAACGTCGAGAGTGACTGTCGAAAATTAAATCACGAATAACAAGCAGAAGCATAACGTTCACTACTGAAGTGAGCCTCCTTATCTTCATGCCACAATGCTTGTATGTTGCTGGGGGACTAGTTGAATGGAATTTCTAAACAAGGAATCCTGACAATGATGTAAGAGCTTGAATCGGAACATAATAAGTCATACGAATTAAGTAAATCAAAGTAGGCTATGAATCACGAGCAACTACAGTCAATTGGGTTCACTATGTAGGCAATAGTTGTATGTTTCCAAAGCGTTAACTTAATAACTGTTTTTAGCTAAAAGAACATGAGGTGGAAGTCATTATAACAGTGCGAAGACGTGCTTCCTCTTAGTCTGCGAGTGTTCGCCAAAGTTTTTTTTCGGGGTGCAGCAAACTTCTGCCTTTCTCGAGAAACAATGACGACAGCTTCCTGCCATCAAACAAAATTTATTTTTTCGCCATGCAGTCTGTGCACCCACATTTATGATTTCATAGAGCAGAAGTTGCTGAAACCTATGCAACGCTCAGGAAGACCACTAAACAAAGTAGTTTTGAAACTCATTCATCCACCTGGACCATGTTTTTTTAAGAAAGTAAATCAAAGAATTGCAGGTACAAATCACTTTGCATGTGGTAGGAAAAGCTACCTGCAAAAGAAGTGTACAAGCAATCTGACGCCTATGAATGTGAGCAAATAAACAGCGAATAAGATCCCAACTTTTGAGTTAATTACAGTCTTTTTGCGGTAGCTATGAGCAATTCATACTCTTCAGATGATCCTGCAACTCCCTACTAATTTATCCACCTTTTTTAATGTAATGTGGTGAAGAAACTTTGTAATTGTCAATACAACCATAGCTGTGTGATAATCTTTCTACACATTGGAGTATTAATAATTCAATAATTACACCCAGTGCCCCTCACATTGCAATCCGAACTAGAGTAACTGAAAATACCCAGTAAACATAGAATCGCAACCTAAACGGTCACTTTTGCAATCACAGTGTTTTGAATGCGG